GGATGTGGGGAAATCCACATTCCTCTACATCAGTGTCTTAGGCGACAGATTGAGAACCGCTGCTGTAGAGCCTGAGGCCATTGGAAAACACAGGTATTTACATTACCATTCATAATAGTAGCAAAATTACAGTTATGAAGTATCAAAGAAAATAATTTTATGGTTGGGGGTCACCACAGCTTAGGGAAGGTTGAGAACCACTGCCCTACATGCTCCCTCTGGAGACTGGGGTTTGTTTTCTAATAGCACCTTCATTACTGAATGAGTCAAGCTCTTCAGTGCCCAAATCATAGTCTCTGATTTTAAAGAAATCTGTAACTATCAGACCCTGAATGATTAGGTGGCTTCCTGCCTTGAAAGGATTCAGGAAACTACTCTCTTTTAACTTTTACTTCCAGATAGATTGTCCTTTAGTGTCTAGGGAGACCCTTTGTGTAGAGATTGGATGCAGATCCATGGCCAAGGACCCAGTATTTGCGCTTTACAAGCAGGTACTTGATGGAGGTGGACCTGGGAGAGAATTTTGGTGCAGAACCTCACTAATTCTGCTCCGGTGTGGCTTTGAGTTTTTTAGTGCATTCTTATTTAATGTCCAGTTTTCCTAACTTTAAGTTAGTGCCCTTTTTAAGCAAAAAACTGTTTGTTTGGGGTTCTTTTTGCTTCCCCAAAAAGAAAACTATAAGAATTCACTAAATAAATATGTACCTTAAAATATGAATCTATTTTTAACAAAGTAATATAGCTACATTTATATCTGTGTTTCCAGAAATATACTGTTCACATATCAATTTGATTTATTTATTTTTCTAACTTGTATAGGTCTTAACTTTTTTAAAAAAATAGCTCATTAATATGCTTTAGAAATTACATTTCACTAAGTATAATTTTGGCCATAATTTCACAGTATTTAGGGGAAGAAAGGATTTCGACTCAAATTGGAAAATAACAACAAAAAATAATAACTGGAAGACATTATTTAAGGTTAGTGTTTAATGATAAATTGCACCAATCAACAACTTAAACAAATAAAAAAAGAAAACCCTCTGCACGCCTGACCAAGAAATGAATAGACTGATTTTTAGTCACATTTGGGAAACAGATGGTAGAATTATTCTGTGTGCAGACTGGTGATCCAAACCATATACCTCAGCTATCAAAATACCAAAATGAAGTAAAATGTCATTGGCATTCAGATAACAATGGATGATGTTTCATAGTCTTTGATTTTCTGGAAAATAAATAGAGAACTTTACTAAATGAGAATTTAAAAAAAGAAAGAAAGAATGTGTCAGCAGGGAATAAATAATAGTATCGTCTCATCAGGCTCAAAATATTTTCTCTGTGACCAGATTCATAGAGGTTATGAAAAGATGAGACAACTCAATTTGCTTCCAAGTATTGGGATCAGTCCCTGTGGTCTGTGCCAAGCTGAGGCTTAGAAATGTAATTGGCTTTAATTGTAATTAATTGAATTAATCCCAGTCATACTGTGAGTCTATGCTGCTTGAGATTCTATTTCAACAACTTTCTGTTCATCTCCACATTTTTCTTTTTTTTTAATGCAAAGCTAAGAAATAATGAGGAAAGGTGAATAAATGTGGGTGTTTCTTTTTTCCCTTTTTATTCCAGCCATTTGTGCATAGAACATTTAATTATACAGAAGAGATAATTCTTCAAGATATGCATGGTTACAGAATTTTATTTTAACTTATTTTTTTTTAAAGGCGAGATTTTCATTTTAACTGAGTTCTACCTGTTGGGCCACCTTTGTGCCAAATGTCTATAAATTAATGAGATAAGGATTGAAACAAGAAGAAACTCTAGCCTCTGTGCTAAGGTCGGGAGGAGGCAGACTAATATTGAGAAAACCAGAGGTTAGTCCCTGGTATGTGGTACAGAAACTGAGCAATATCGGGCAAGTCACCACTGTTATCATTACTTTTTTTCTTTATGATAGCGTTAGCATACTTTCAGGGAAATGCGCTGCCATTTAAGAGATTGTTTCTGTTCATATACAATGAGATGGAGTATTATAAATGGGCTCTGATCAGGTTTTGTTTCAGAACATGTGACATTTCCCACTTATTTTTCCACATAAAATTCATTTTTCTTTTCCACCCAATATTAAGTTCTCCTCAGGTCAGACACAATATTGTTGCCTTCAGCATCCAATAAGTGTTCACCAAGATAACTCCTGATCAGGAGTTCAGATTCTTCTTTATTTAACATCATTTTCCTGCAGGCCCTGGCCAAGTGGGTAGCTCAGTTGGTTATAGGGTTGCCCCTATATGCCAAAGTTGTGGGTTTGATCCCCAGTCAGGGGACATACAAGAATCAACCAATTAATGCATGAATGAGCAGAACAAATCAATGTTATTCTCTCCCTCCTTCCTTCCCTTCCTTTCTCTGTCTAAAATTAATAAATAAAAGTAAATAAAATTGTTCCCCTACATGTAAATAAGGCCTCCTGGAAAGAGGCTGCTCTTTTTGCAGTCAGAAAAAAATGGTTTAACTCCAACTCCCCTATTACTAACCATGATCCTGTAAGTAAGCCATTTAACCTTTCTGTTACCTTAGCTTTCTCATCTAAGCATAGATATAATGATATTTTCAAAGCACATTATAATGATGAATAATGAGTTCTTTGACAAGTTAAAAGTACTATTTAATGTTGAGTTACTATTATTAATAACATAAGATTTGTGAAAATGTAGGAAACAGATTTTGTTTTCCTAGGCAGATGCGTGGATAGATGGTTTGTGTAAATGTGTGGTCACACTTCATACTCTGGGTGCTCACGATCAGTGTCCATGTCTTATTGAAATCCCACCTGGTCCTGGTGCTACCCTGTGAAGGGAGAACTTCCCCATTTATAGTCCAGGCTTGGACTGGACCAGTTCTCCTGCACTGTCCTCAATTTGCTGCTCAATAGTTATATGATCTATTAGAAAGTTTGACATTTTGAACTAGGTTGCCTTGCAACTGTAATGGCTGTACCACACCAGGGAATTCGTGGGCCTCCTGGAGCTTTTAATTTGCAATCCTAGAAGCCCTATTCCATAGAGAGAAGCTGGGTCAGCCTGCTCTCTTTCTTAAGCAAGTATCTGAGTCACCAAGCCACAGCTTACAGATGAGACTGGAAGGGACAGCCAACTTGGGTTCTGGGTAGGAGAGCACAGGTTCATGCATAGTTCAGTTGTCCTGCTCTCAGAGTTCTGTCTCCAGATCCTCATAGATGGGCCCCAAGGATGAGTTTATTCAAACACAATTTGAGTACACATAGTGAATGCCTTACAAGAGTAAGGACTTAATATTTTCAAAATCCTATATAATAAAAGCCTAATATGATAAGTGTCCTATCGGCTGTTCAACCAATCAAAGTGTAATATGCTAATGTTATACTAAGGCTGCTCAACTGCTCACTATGATGACCTGCACTGACCACCAGGGAAAGATGCTCTGACCAATAGGTGAGCTTGCTGTTGGGAACTAAGCAAGATGGGCCGGACATGCCCTGGAGCTCTTCTGTGGTCCCTCCCCAGTTGGCCAACCTCTCACATCCCTCCCTGGTCCCAATTGTGCACTGGTGGGGTTCCTTGGAGTGGCCTGCATGCTCTCAATCTGGGACCCCTCGGGGGATGTCAGAGAGCTGGTTTTGGCCTGATCCTGCAGGCCAGGTCAAGGAACCCCACTGGTGCACGAATTTGTGCACTGGGTCTCTAGTAAATTAATAAAGTATTCATGTAATAATGTTTATCAAATATTACATTATGCCTAATTCTGGGAGATATAAGAAACTATGACATGGTTATATACCAAATATTTTAATTTACTTCAAAAGACAATACAAGCATATATGAAATATTTGAACATTTAAAGTGGGGAGTTAAGTGATAGAATACTGATTTAAAATATGGGGCTACCAGAATTCAAAGAGGTGGGGGACCAGTGGCATAGTCTCTCAGGAAGTGAAACTGAGGATGGATTTCGAAAGATGGATGGGATTTGAGAAGACAAAAAGATACAGGCATTTCAAACATGACACAATATCTAGAAATGGAAATAGGTGTGTTTGCTCCACTCTACTTTTGGGCGATGCAGGGGTAGGGGTGTGCATTTAAAACAAAATAGGGTAAAACATAAAATATATATCATGATATAACTATTGAAAAACTCACTTATGTACTAAGATGTATGTGTAAAGATACTGTTCAAAATAGTAAAAATTTTGCAGTGATTTAAATTCTGTCAGGGGCTGGGACCGGTTTGGCTCAGTGGATTGAGCATCGGCCTGCAGTCTGAAAGATCCCGTGTTCAATTCCGGTCAAGGGCATGTACCTTGGTTGTGGGCACACCCCCGGTAGGGGGTGTGCAAGAGGCAGCTGGTCAATGTTTCTCTCTCATCGACGTTTCTAACTCTCTGAACCTCTCAGTTCCTCTCTGTGTAAAATCAATAAAATATATTTAAAAAAAAAATTCTGTCAGGGGAATGGTTAAATAATTAAACATACTAGAAAGTAGATGTAAGAATATAGTAGGTCTCTGTGTGCCGACACAGAAAGACCTACCAAGGAAAGACACAATAGAATATTAAATAGAATATTAAAGATGAAAATGCATTTATATAATATTTGTCAACTTTGAACATTGATTTTAAAAAATCAAAGTGGTATTTCAGGAAGATGAATGTGTTAGCATTGTGTCAAGTTAAAAGGGAGCAATTGAAAGTGAAAGAGTATTGGGGGATGTTTGCTTGAGCACAGGCACAGGAGGCCAGAAACAGGCTTGAATGGTGAAGAGAAAGACCCCAGAGACCTTCTGAAGACTGACTTTGAAGGATTTCATGGCAGATTCTTGATAGAGGGGATGAAGGCAAGAGAAGGGAAATTTTTCAGGTTCCAGCTTAGGAAATGTACATTGAAGATTGATCTCTACTAAGGGGAGTAGACTGGTGCTAATAGGAAACCTTTAAAGAATTTCTGTATCTTTTTGTTTCTCAGGATGGAAGAAACAGTACGAAATCTATTGCAGAATCAAGGACCTCCGGAGCAGAAAAAAGAAGACACTGTTAATATAATGGTCTATCAGGTACACCACGGTTCTTACACTCGAATGGGTACTGATTTTCTCATATTTCTCTAGCTCTGTCCTCCCTAATCCAGAGTGATATAAATAAGTATGGGCCAGACCCTGGTGCTGGGATCCATATGGTTACCTCTGTTTGAGGAATCATGTGCACATTTATTTAACTCATTCTTATTTTGAATTCCTACTGTGAAGCAGATTATAAATTTGGTTGGAGGAAGATGTAAAAAGTAAGTTTGCCTTGAAACCAAGAGACATATAAAAATATTGAAGTACTCTGTGCCCAGGGCTATGAGAGAGGTAGCTCCCACACTCCCTGCGAACACAGGGCAGGGGTGACTTACCTTATCTGGAAGCTAAGGAATACTTCCCAGAGAGCTATGCCACTTTTGGTGGGCCTGGAATAGAGGACAAGAGGAAGGACTCTTGGGGCAGCAGGAAAGTCTAGCTGAGGTGCAGTGGTGTGTATTTGCTTGGCGGGCACATGGAGAATGAGAAGCTCAAGGTCATTAAATAATGGTCTGGGGAGAGGAAAGGTTGACTGTGAGACTGAGGGTGCACGGGAGAGCTGGATGAGGCTATGCTCATATTCTGGGCACATGTGTGTGCCTTGTTCCCCTTCAGTGTAGAATCTAAAGAGGTCCACAGAGAGTAAAAGGTCAATGCAGTAACAGGTTGCCATCATCAAGGGGCCCTCAGTCTCTGGCTCTTTAACACCAGCAAGGTGGCCAGGCTGGAGGGCAGGACACTTGGCCACACAAGTGAGAAGGCCGGGAGGAAGAGAAATAACAGCAGAAAGAGCACAGGTACTCTTTATAGATAAACTAGAGACCTGGTGAAACTCGTGCACTCGGGTTGAGGGGGATCCGTCAGCCAGGCCTGTGCCCTCTCGCAGTCTGGGAGCCCTTGGGGGGTGTCTGACTGATGGCTTAGGCCTGCTTTCCATGGGGAGTGGGTCTAAGCTGGCAGTTGGACATCCCGCCACCACTGCTGCACTCACTAGCCATGAGCCTGGCTTCTGGCTGAGTGGTGCTCCCCCTGTGAGAGTGGACTGACCACCAGCAGCAGGGGCAGCTCCTATGTTGAGCATCTGTCCCCTGATGGTCATGTACATCATAGTGACCTGTTGTTCTGCTTTTCAGTCAATTTGCATACTAGCCTTTCATTATATAGAAGACTTCTGTTGAAAAATCACTTCAAATGACAAATAGATACCTCATATCCATTGTACAACAGTGTATAGAGAGCTAAAGAGGCTAAGGCAGTCAAGGAAGTTGGCTGAAATTTGAGGTAATTCCCATCGTAGTGCTCCGTATCTGCTGGCTAAGGAAGTGGGTTTGGGAGGTAAGCAGAGGAGCCCAGTAGGTAAAGATAACCTTACTCTGGCTTCCCTGAACTCATGGGTTTAGGGCTCTGCAATCTAACTTGTCATGAGAAAGATTGGGTGGACTCTGATCATAAAAGCCACAGTAGTATACAAAGCTAAGGATTCCAAGCAGAGTTGACTTTAAGAACTCCTTGTTCTCAGTAGTTGATTCTGGAGACATGTGCAGGATGATGGGCAGCTGCTCTCCATCTCCAGTGAATACCGTACAAGGAGTTGATTTAAGCTGCCTCGGAAGAGATTAAAGTGAGTGCCACGAAGACAAATAAAAATCACTAAAATCCACTTCTTGCAGAAGTACCGTTTGTGAGGGGTGTCTTTACATAGGAATGACGACGGTCTGCTTTTCCTGATGTGCAGTCACCTAAAGTTAGGATAAGGATTTCAGTCCTCCCAGCCCTGAGTCTTTCTGAGGTGTTATGTCTGCTGTGGTAGAAAATTGAGGTATAAATAAAAGGAGGGAGTGAGAAAGGCTTGATTCTGCAGTAAGGGGTTCAGTGCAGCTTAAAAGAATCTGAACTATAGTCCTGCTCTCCCCCCATCCCTCCCCCACCATTGCCTTATTCCCCCACCCCCCCACGCCACATGCCAAGCCCAAGTTAGACCCAAGAACTCAAATCCCACTGCTGTGCTTTTCCCAAATCCCTCCTTGCTGGGCATCTAGGTACCTTCTTTCTCTGGATTGTTCTTTTATCTTTCCACAGTTTATTAGACATTAAACATTGTCATAGGAATTTAATTTTTAAAACTGGAAGCTACTTAGAAAACAGAAGCACTTTTAAAAAATGTGTTTTAAAATTATTTGCTCTCTATGATCCAGTCCATTAGGCTTGGGAACTCAGTGCCTCCCTCTAGAGGGGAGGCAGTAAATCACTTGAATTGATAAGACATGGACGGGATTTTCAGTCATTGCTGTAGCTGGCCTCAGGCTCCTTTTGTGTAAAATAGGAGACAGTCATGGGTTCCATGGCCCATAGGATCATTTACACATTCAACAGATTTACTGAGCTCGGAGTATGCACTGGGTACAGCCTGTGCTCTGGGGATTCAAGCAATGAGAAGGGGGAGAGAAATCCTGCTGGGCAGCACTGAGGCAGGGTCTCTGGCATCTCCCTAACTTGGGTCTCCCAAGTGTGGCTCATAGCAGCGCAATAGGTCTGTATTGAGCTGGGCCTGCAGCACCAATGGAGCAGGCAATGGACACCTTCCTGAAGTTAAATTCTTGGTTCAAATATGAGCTGGGAGATTTATTCCTTCATAGTGTAGGGTGTTATGAGCACACCTGACTCAGACTTTCCAACAGCAAGATTTCTCTGACAGAGGCCCATGCAAGGCCTAGGCCTATGGGAAAGTGAGAGTTGGTTTCATTTTCTACTGTGGAAGTTTTATATATATATATGGAGAGAGAGAGAGAGAGAGAGAGAGAGAGAGAGAGAGAGAGAGAGAGAGAGAGAGAGAGATAAATGGTAGGGCCCAAGCTACTCTCTGATAACTACCTAACTTGGGACCCATCTAGAGCACTCTACATTCATTTATTCATGTACTTACTCATTTATTCATTTAAATGACAACTGTTCACTTACTTTTTTACATAAGTGTAGTAGTTTCTCATTGATGCTGCAGCAAACTTAGTGAGTTAAAACGCATTTCTATTCTCTTATAATTCTGGAGGTCAGAAGTCTGAAGCTGCGCTGCTAGCATTCTTTCTGCAGCTTCAGGGAAGACCATTTCTCACCTTTTCCAGATTCCAGCATCCCTGGGCCTGTGCTCCTTCCCTCCATCTTCAAAGTGCAGGACTCCAAGCTCTGGTTCCATTGTCATATCTCTTTTTTTCTGAGTTTCACCATCTCCCCTCCTTCTAGAAGAACCCTGTGACTACATTAGACACACCCAGATAATCCAGGAAATTCTCCCCATGTCAAGATCCTCAATTTAATCTCATTTGCAAAGTTCCTTTTGCCTTATAAGGCAGCATTCACAGATCTCTGGGATTGGGAGGTGAATGGGGATGGGTGGGTGGAGGGGGGGTGGAGAGGCATTATTCTGTTGATGGCAGTAAGTGACATATTTATCTAGCAGGCTGGCAGTACCTAGCTAAGTGCTGGCATACCAGCCGCCTGCCTGACAGGCCTTTCCTGGTGGACTCAGTTGATAGGATGCTGGACAGTGGGGAGGAAAGGCAAGTGATCAAATACTTTCAACCATGTGACTGAAGTCAGAATAGCAGTTTGCATGGGATTCTGGGAGCAGGAGGGATGATCCACCAAACCCACTGCACTGTTGTCCCTGGAGACCCTGCCATCTGCCTCACACTTATTTTTTAATAATCCATCCATACCTAGCACCAAGGACAGTCTCATTTCATCAGGGTAATAAAACACCTCAAAAGATTGTGTTGGAGGAGCCTGAATCACTAGAAACGTCGTCAAGTTCCCTACTGCTTTATTCTCTCTCCAGGTTATTCTCTGTAGGTGGTGTGTTATATATTCTTGTCACCCAGGTCACCATCTTATTTGGTCAAGTAAGTTAGGAAACATGTTAGGAAAAAGAATCATAATTTTTTTTTAGATTAGTGAAAGAGGACAATCAAACACACATGAAATGGAGTGACAGAGAGCATCATTCCTCCAGCTTCCTCTGTGGCAATATTTAAACTCAGGAGGCCTGGCTGAGTCACCACGAATCCTAACACTGATGATGGGTTGCCCCTTATAGTCCTCTTGTGTCTGTAGCTACCCTCTGTGCTGCTCTGCTATAGCGGATACACTTCCTTTTGTCTCCCTTCTTCTCTGTGGAACATGAAGTGTACCCACATTGGCTAATTCATTTAGAAAGAAAGAAGTGAATGGGCAAGTGGAAACACTAACAGCTTCTGCCACTCACAGGACCTGAGAGGGTCACCTGGATTTTCTGGGTCCCTCAGTTTTCATATTTGTAAAAGATGAGGTTTGGGACTAGATTAGGGATCACAAACACAAATGCCCACAGTTGCCAAATATTATAAAAGTGGGTCCTGCTGGTTTGTCTCACTGAAGGGCTTGATTCCTGTCAAGGGCACATGTCCAGTTGTGGGCTCAATCCCCGGTGTGAGGTATGCAATAGGCAGCCGATCAGTGATTCTCTCTCATCATTGATGTTCCTCTCTCTCTCTCTCTCTCTCTCGCTCTCGCTCTCGCTCTCGCTCTCGCTCTCGCTCTCGCTCTCTCAATTGCCAAAAAGAAGTGGACCAGGTCTGAGAAAAATCAGGTGTTCTTTTGGGGTTTGCCTTCTATTTTTCTACCATAGATAAGAAAACAGGTACAAAGATAGGTTTTTTATTTGTTTTTGTTTGTTTTGTTTTTAATGAAATACAAAATTCTTGCTTATTAAGTAGCAACCCATACCGGTTTAATGCCAAAGGACAGTAGGGAGTGGTGGAAACTGTGACAAACTGTCAGGCCTGCAGGCAGCAGCCCCAGCCCAGGTGCAGCAGACCCAGATGCTTCAAAATGTGGACAGATGGCCACATGGTTCAAAAGAAGATGAAATTCAGTTTGATGGGCAGTTTCTCATTCTGCAAATAAGGCTTATTTTTTTGTGTGTGCATGGACTAAACAATGTGTTAGAGGAAGGGCAACCT